GGGGGGGGGGGGGAGAGGACAATAACTCCCTGAAGCTTCTCGATTGAAGGAAGGAAGCTCTAGGTAGATTCCATTGAGGTTCTCACAATCAACTTCTCACAATCAACTTCTGCCGAAGCTCAACTCTCTTCATTTCAGAAATCTTCAAATCGAACAGCCCCTCCTTGACGCAAGCAAAATCTCACTACACGGGGAAAAACCAGTTCATCCATCAATCAATATCCGCCACACCGAACCACTCCACATCGTAGAGAACGACATTACAGTAAATCCATCCAAACCCCGATTTCCTCCTCCCCGCAACAAAACCGAACGAACAAAGGGAAAAGTTCCGAATCGAAAGTAAACAGAAACAGCAGGTTCAAAAAAAAAAAAAAAAAAAAAAAAAAAGAAAAAAAAAAAAAAGAAAAGAAAAGAAAAAATGTGCTATTATCACGAAATCAACTACTCCTGCCACCACAACCTCTTCACCCTCATCGATTTCTGCCCAGCTCTCTACCGCCAACTCCAGCGCATCAATGATCCACGCGAACTCGCCCGTTCCGATGTTATCATCCCCTTCGAGGACCAGCCGCGCTGCGCCCCGCTGCGCAGCTATGAGAACATATTGAGCTCCTCGCGGTCGACGAGTGAGTGTGAGCGGTGTTTGGGGAGGTCGCGTCGGGCGGGAGACTCTTGGGAGGTTTGGATTAGGGGGGGCCCGGTAGGGAGGGGGTGTGGGGAGGTTGGTGTGTGGGGGCGTTTTTGTTTTTTTTTTTTTTTTTTTTTTTTTTTTTTTTTGTGTGTGTGTGTGTGTTTGGATGTCGTTTTAGGGGAGGCTCGGCTCTGAGATGATGGTTATTTTATTTTATTTTATTTTATTTTTATTTTTTTCGGATCCCCAGGACGGGGTTGTTTGTTGTAAAACTCGCTTTTTATGCCTTTCCTGGTTACGTGGAGTGAGTGCGTGGAACGGGGTAAAATGAAACTTGTCAGTTCGTCCTTTTCTTCCTTCTCAAGCTTGAACAGAAGAGGAATTCAATGATAACCGAAAGAAATTTATTGAATTTATTTATCTACCTCCATCAGCCAATCTTTGCAAACCATTGTTGCCAGGAATCATAGGCAGTTAGTTGGTTAGTCCATGGATGATGGCATGCGAACACTAAATGGGGTATCGAAATGATAAAATTGATTGGATATTCCAATTATACCACCCTAGGTGTTTTTTAAGTGGTGCCTTGTATGAAAACGAGTGAAAAAAGTCCACTGTAAGGTAAATAGACCGGGTAATCTATTTGGATTGAAGTTGGGGAAAGGGATATATATCTTAAAAGTTTAAAATCCGAAAAATTGACGACAATAGAAACCATACAAAAGACAACAAAGTAAATGCCAATGCCGAGAGACGTTCGAAATTAGGGAGCAGAAGAAAGAAGATAAAGATAGAAACGCCACCGAAATGCGCAAGATTGAGGATTAAGTCCAAGGGGTAGAATAAAAAAGAGCAAGAGTGATGACAGGATATTATGTGTTTACTACAGATGGAAATGAAAGGAAGGGAACGTAGAAAGGAAGGCCTAGTGCTTCGTCGAACCACAACTGCAACCTTCACTCTCCAGATCTTCATGATCAAGCAAAAATTGATCGGCGCTCTCGCCCCGTATCCTTCGTTTGAAATCGCCATGGTATCTATCAAGTTCATCGACGACAACACCATCATCCAGCGGCTCGCCCATCCAGGGGTACAGGTTACCACTCCCATCACCGCTGACGTGTGGAGATGACTTGGTATCCTTTAAGCGCTTGGTGACATTATGTAGATCAAGTGAGAGGTATTTCTGGAGAAATAAGCCGACCTCGGTATTTTCATGGTTGCCAACGAGGGGCATTGCGTCGTGTGCTGATGAGGCATAAATATTGACGTCGACACCTACCGTGTAGAATGTTAATATACAGCCTTGTGTTTATATACAAAACAGTAACTGGAAAGAATGAGAAAGAAGGTCAACTCACCTGAATGGCCATGCGTCGACCAGCCAATCTGGGCCCGTCGACTGACCATGTCGGCAAAAGCATAGGCTCCACCACCGTCCATGAGTTTTTGGACCTCAGCGTTCGTCGCATCATGAATGCCTAACCCGTCTCCGAGCAGCTTGTTGCGGATATAATTACGGCGGTTTAGATCATCAGCGTTTTTGCCTTCATTAGCTAGATAATGATCAAGAGCATTTCCGAGATATTCAGACGAGTGGCTCGCATTTCCGAGAACACCAGGATACCAGAGATACTCGGGGTAATCAGCATGTAGCTGTTTTGCAATAGACAAGCCGCCTGTCTCGTGGTCTGATGTGGCAACAAGAACACCAGGGGTGGAATCAGTCTTAAGGAACTCTAACGCCGCAGAAAAAGCTTTATCATAAGCTAGAACTTCGTGGACTTGAGCGACAGGGTCATTCCCATGGCCCCCATGATCTATCCTCGAGCCCTCAATCATAATGAAAAAACCTTTCTCGCTATCTTTCGTAGCTTCACTCAGGGCCTTTAGGGCTGTTCGTGTCATATCTTCAAGAGAAGGGTAAACATCAGTCATCTGGCTGCGGTCCACTTCGAAGGGAATGTCCTTAGCAGCCAGAAGGCCGAGTAAGGGTAGAGTGACGTTGCTGCCCATCTGAAGACTGTCGAATCCCGCCCGATCATGAATGTACGAGAATCCATTAGCTTTAGCCATCTGTACCACATCTTTATCATCGCGACGGCAGCTACCGTCTGCTGAGTTTGGTATAAAGTGACATCGTCCGCCTCCCATGATCAAATCAACCATCCGACCTAGAGGGTAGTTCCCGATTTCCTGCTCAGCAATGAGATCTTCGTAGGATCGCATGTTAGCATGAGACGCAAAGCAAGCTGGCGTAGCATCAGTAACGCGGGTCGTTACGACTAAACCAGTCATATAACCGGCTAATTTCGCTGCCTCGAGAATGGTACCACACGGGGATTTATCCGGAAGGACAGAAATTGCGCCATTGTAGCTTTTCATCCCACACGAGAACGCAGTCGCACCGGCCGCAGAGTCGGTAACGAGACTGGATGAGGACCGGGTTCTTGATGAACCTATGTGGTGCTGGTCGAGAACAAGAATATCGTCCATAGGCAGTTTGCTTTCGAATTGTCGAAAACTTCGCGTCAGGGATAAACTAGCTGGGCCCAGCCCATCTGATACCATAAATATGAGATTCCTCTTCCCTGATTGTTTCGACCAGGATCAAGCTTCAGTTTGTTTTGTGTG